CCAGAGAATGGCGCACACTGAGCCGCACATCCTCCACCAAATCTGTCAGGGATGAAGCAGACAGAGACGGATCGTGGTGCGCCAAACTCTGGAAGTTTATTTAAGTTTCTCTCAAGTTCCAGTGGTTTCCATTGTTTCCTTCTCTCAGACAGAATGAAGTCAGTACACAGTTTATATAGTCATTGTCACGTCACACATCGAAAGACATACGTGTCACACAGAGACAGTCACATCATAGTCAAAATAATCAGAGTCCTTGTAGAGTCCTGCACGTAGGCCATATTGCTATCTAATACTAACAATGTAAAACTAGCTTTTATGAACATGGAAAAGAAGAGCAAAAACAGTGCTTCTTTCTACTCACACAACAGGTTTGGAGTTACATAGTATTTAAAACCACAGAGTTAGTGAGTTCAATGTGGCTGACTTCATGGAGGTCTTACAGTAGTTGCTCCTTTCTGGTCATCACATGAGTCATTATTCTTACACACACAGAGTTCATCATGTGATACACTTGTTGAGACAGTTTTGAGATTTAAAATATGCTAAATATATCATAATCATGAGCATTGTCATGGATCGGCTCTATATAGAGGACGTTTGTAATGTGAATGTGTAGCCCAGGCGTGTCAAACTCGGGCCTACGGGCCAAATCCGGCCCTTGAGACAATAATCTATTCAATAGCTTAGTAAATTGCAATGTTGATGGTAAGGGGCTACTATGGCATGTTGCTCTTCATTTTGAAGCCTATTGTCTCAAGAAAACAGTCATATAATTGTATCTCTTCTGACAATTATTTCAACAGTTCTGTCTTCTCTTATTGATATTTGCCTCTGTTGTGGTTGAATCCAAACCTACTAGAAAATAAAATACAAACTCATGTCAAATACAGTTGACATAAGACACAAATACTTTTTTTAAAGTACTTCTGGCCCCAACCAACTTTTTAAATTTGGCTCCTGTCGAGGAGTTAAGCCTGACCTGTCGTATGCCCTTCAAAGCAGTGCCACAATCAAACTCTTTCTATAAATATTGCATGTTGTCCTGAGGTTGTTTCCACCTGTCCCAGATTTGCATTAAACAACACTCCCCTTTCACCAGCGTGCCGTATATGATTGAATTTATATGTAAATCTATCAGCGCATCTTTATTGAGCTGAGACACATCCGTCCACTGTACACTGCATTTCTAGTGGACGCATCAGTGTTCGGGGCATTTTAATCTAAATCCCCACAATGAGACTGGAATGCCAAACACTGTGCACCATTTGGGTTATCAAAAACGCCTGCTCTCATTCTTATTCCATTAGGTTTGTATGAGAAAGGGAAACGGACACAAGGTTGTTAGAAACATTCGACCGTAAGGACCTCATAATGGACTGAATAGAGGTGATTTTGGTTCATCTGTTTGTTATTCCTTGCTTTTAGTTAGTTTAGTTAGTTTTTATTTTGTCAACAATTATAGACAATAATAGATGTATTTTTAACAGGATTTAGAGGCTCTTGAAAGACCCTTTATGCAATATGAAAGTGTGAAAGTGCAATTGTGTTGAAGTCTCACCTTTTCAACAGAACATAATATTTGTTTATACAAGAGAATAAGTAGCAGCCAGTTGTCATGGAGCAAAATAGTAGACTGAAAAGAAACCTTCCGTATTGCGAGCCATTGATTACACAATCTGATGAATGACCAGTATAAATAGAATGTTTGGTATTATTCTGATTAAAGCTAGGGTACCTAATTGTTCTTGTTTCATAGCTAAATACAGTAATACCCAGACTTTAAGCCGCTGCGGCTTATATGGCGATGCAACCATTGTTTGTATTTTTATTGTGGAAGATTTGGTGTTGTCAGCTTATGGACTTATTATTTTGACTCCATAAAGTTTTAGTAGTTATAGGACATATTTATTGTCAAAATAGAGGAAGATGAATGAGTAGAGACATGGAAGCTAATGGTTAAGCTGTTAAACATGAAAACTTGCAGCTTATATTCAAGTGCGAACATTCTGTGGACAAAACATACTTTATTATTAGAATGTTGCTGGTGCGGCTTATATATAGGTGTGCCTAATAGTCCAGAAAGTACTGTAATACAGTTTGCTTGTCCCAAAAGAAATGAAGAAGATGACAAAGCACACGAACACAGATACAACAGAATGCAAGTGTATTATACAGAGCGGAGGCATGGAGACCTCCAATCAGCAGCTTCCACGGTGCCATGTAGCTTGGCCTTCAGATAGACAAAACAAGGGAAAAGTACAGGCTTCTGCACATTGATAGAATGATGAGTTTAACTTTAACAAAAGTTGCTTAAAAGTGTTATGAAATCTCACAGAAAGAAACATGTGATATTATTTATTAGAAGACATTGTATACTTTACATACTTCCACAAAATGATACTAAGAAAGGACCCTGTGAGTCACTTGCGGACACTTTGGGCAGACAGCCGATTAGTTGAGTGAGGTTGGTTGACTCTTATTTTCACTTTTCAGTCTGAAAAAGCAGATATCAACCGGCCAAAATACATGCAAATTGTTCTGAGAGCAAGGAACTAGTTACTGTATATAGTTACATTTTTGTTAGTTAGGCACCCCAGCTCTACGTAAAAAATCAACATGGATGGATGGATTGAGAAAGTGGATTTTGATAATTGAGTCATTTCCTTTGATTAATCAATTAGTTGTTGAGAACGCAGATATGTGATTTTTCTCTACATTTGGCAGACAAAACTACTCTGTAATTAAATTGAGACATGTTATGTTTAAAATCCCATTTGAGCAACAATTTACAATTGATCAATTACTAAAATAGACTTAAACTTGATTAGTTGCAAACAATCTATTCAATGGCGGTGAAAACTAGGACCTTTGGAACAAAGGTAGTACTCAAACTCAAACATGAATGACTATATTCATCAGTGGGGAATCCTTTTGCATCACGTTGGCTTTGATGCATAAACAATAATAATGTTCTCAAAATATATAGTCTACCACTTTGGACAAACAAGCTTGAGAAGTTTCTTTTTATTGAAGATCTTTCTGACTCTCCAAACTTTATGTTGGATTTGACTTGAGTCCCCGGATCATGAAAAATCCCTCAATAACAGGACTTTTGTGGTGCTTCCATCCGTTTGCTCGAATGATAAAAGTGTCAAATACCCATCAAATCAAAAGCGAGCGCTGTAAACTTAATAAAGCTCTTTTTTATTTACTATTTTTCTGTGGGGGTAGATTTACGACTTTGCTGAGCTCCTATCTCTCACTGAGCCCCATTCATTTCCTGTTCGCCGCAGCACTTTCCATTAGATTGAATTGAACTGGGAAGTAAACAAAGGTCTGTGCCTGGCTTGGTGCTGTACAGGGGATTTGTACACAGAATTTGTACCTTTAGTTTGTGGCAGTGGCTCTTTATATTACACAAATTGAACATCTGATACTTCCTTCTATTTTTGTTGTAACCCATGAGACCATGAATTATTTATTAAATATTATGAATTATATATTATATTAATTTTATATATATATACCTGTGTGTGTGTATATGTATATATATATATATATATATATATATATATATATATATATATACCTGTGTGTGTGTGTGTGTATATATATATATATATATATATATATATATATACATATATATACATATATATATATTTCGCATCAACAGTCTGTTGATGCGAAATGCCCTGTTGTTTTAATGCTTCTTGATCTAACTGCAGCATTTGATACTGTTGATCACTCTGTTCTTTTGTCTTGCCTGAAACATCATGTTGGCATTTGTGGTGCTGCACTTAGTGGTTCCAATCATATCTCAGAGATCGAACATTTTCTGTCATGATTGGTGATCTGTCCTCCTCTATTGCTTCTTTGACGTGTGGAGTACCTCAGGGTTCTATTCTGGGCCCCATGTTGTTTTCTATTTACAGTATATGTTGCCACTGGGGTCCATTATCGCACGGCATAATTTGGCATTTCACTGCTATGCAGATGATCTGCAAATCTATCTGCCCATTTCATCCAGTAGGCGTGATGCTGTAAAACGTCTAACGGACTGTATATCTGACATAAAACTGTGCCTACAGCAGAATTACCTCCATTTAAATGAGGACAAAACTGATTTTATTCTGTTTGGTGATGCACGTGTTTCAAATTATGGTTTACCGTCTTTTAACTGTGAACCAACTGTCAGAAACCTTGGTGTTGTCTTTGACAACTCATTTCGTTTTGAGAAACAGATTGACAGTGTTTTCAGGTCGAGTTTTTATCAGCTGCGTATTTTAACTAAGGTTAAGCCTTTTTTAAACCACTCTGACCTGGAGAAAACCATCCACGCTTTTATTAGTTCTAGAATTGATTATTGTAAGGCCCTTTATTTTGGAGTTTCCCAGTCCTGTCTTAATCGTCTCCAGTTAGTGCAAAAGGCTGCAGCTCGTTTTTTAACAAACACCCCCAGACGTGAACACATCACCCCAGTCCTTTTTTCTTTACATTGGCTTCCAGTTTCTTTTAGATTTGATTTTAAAATTCTTCTCTTTGTTTTTAAAGCCCTCAATGGTCTCGCCCCTTTATACTTGTCCAAACTAACAGTTTGTGACTCGAGCAGATCAATGAGGTCAACAAATCAGCTCCTACTGGAAGTGCCCAGGACTCGGTTCAAACATTGGGGTGATCGAGCCTTTTCAGTTGCTGGACCAAACTTCTGGAACAAGCTGCCCCCTGACCTACGCACAATCACTGACTTTAGCCTTTTTAAATCCAGACTTAAGACATATTTATTCAGGCTGGCTTTTAATACTCAGTAGCACGGCGACACTTTAGTTTCTCATGGTTTCATCTGTTTTTATCTGTTTTTATTGTTTGGTTGTATGAATGTTTTTAACAGATTTTATGTGATTTTATTGTAAAGCACTTTGGTCGCCTTGTGTGTTGTAAAGGGCTCTATAAACAAGGGTGCATCATATTTAATTTTTTTTTTTCTTATTCTCTAGGAGGTTCAGTCGGAGGTTCTCGTGTTATCACTCCTGAGGCTCCCTTTTCCGTGGACGACTTGGTTCACGAACACATCTTCTACGTTCAGGACAAAAAGTACAAAACCCAAGAGCAAAAAGATGTCTTCAGCTTCTACATCAGTAACGGACACACTCAGACAGAAGCTTTCAGTGTGGAGATAGACATCCAGGTCAGTTTACCAACGCACTAAATCACAACAACATCAAAACAGAGGCTGGTGTGTTTAACATTGTATAAACATAATCCTGCTCTGAATTAAACATTCACAAATTAAATATGGATATATAACACTTGTGAAGGTAATTTATTTATGCTTTTCAAAAGTGAAAGTGGGGTCAGCGTGCTGTGCTGTCCGCCAGAAATATTTACTTTTACCTTTTTTTGTGTGCTATTTTTATAGTCATGTGAAACTGGGAAAAGTCATGTTACAGTGGCATGGTGGCTGAGTGGGGTTAGTGCTCCCATGCCGATCCTTGCCTTTTTGTGGCCATACTTGAAAGCGAAAGCCATATCCTGTCAATCCTCTGAAGTTAAGCAGGGCAGGACTTGGTTAATACTTTGATGGGAGACCTCTTGGAACACCAGGTGTCTCAGGGGGGAGATACGGCTGTAATTGTGTCCTAAGGCAAGACACTTCATCCACATTGCCTAGAATGAGTCTGGTGTGTGTGATCGGAGCGGCCAATGGCACATACTGGTTGCCTCGCTGCCCCAGGGCAGCTGTGACTACAGTAGTTGTTTATCACCACTGTGTATGGAGTGAAAGAGTAATGACATGTGAAGCCTCTTTTAGTGTCCAAAAAAGTGCTATATAAAACTGATGCATTACTGTTATTAGCCCGTGTCTGGGAGGGTTTGAATGAATGATGGCTGATGACTGGTTTCCATGCTTCCGTCAGTCTGCCCAGGGCACATGTGGCTTGCTTACGAATAAAGAGTTCAGTATAGCGCTTTGAGACACATTGCCGTGAAACAAGATTAAATAACTATTTAAAAAACAAACATTGATGGACGCATCTGGACCGATTGAAGCAGAATGTTGGATTTGCTATGAAAAAATAAATCAACACACTGCACACTGCACACTCAGGCATTTGTTGAAGGAACAGTGTTTGTGATCTTCTCTCAACTGGATCAAACAAACTTTTTATGTCCCTGCTTGTTCCTGGTGTGGCGTTATCACAAACACTTCCAGACTGAGTCTTTTAGATGGAAGCTGTGTTGGGGAATACTGTGGCTAAAAACAAAAGACCGAGATTATACTTTTGAGGCAATTCTATTCAGAGTAAAATACATTTTCATTTCTTCGATGCCTACACAAGGTCGTCTTATATCACATGTAAAAAGTACATTTAGTCAAAATACTTGTTAAAACATAAGTTGAAATATAGTTAAAATACAGTTAGAGGCAGCTTTCACAGAGGATTGTGTGGTTATCATGTTAGAGTGTAAGCTTTGTGGGTGGTGTGTGACTGAATGGGTGTTACGGAGGTCAGGGGGGAGAGTGTTCCAGAGCTGGGGAGCAGAGCGTTTGAAAGCTCTACTCCCCATGGTGACGAGGCGGGCAGGAAGGACCAGGAGGAGGAGAGAGGAAGAGGAGCAGAGGGAGCAGGGTGGTGTGGACCAGAACTTTCTGATTTTAGTTCGGATAGATCTAATAACAAGTCCAGGTCTTTTTTTGATGAGGAACAACTTTGCAACACAGTTAAAATCTCAAAAGAAATAGATAAATAGAAAGTCAGGTGTCCAACAGCAGACACACATTCATCCATCCATCCACATTGCACATGATTGCAGTATTTACTATTTACAGATGAGATAACATGTACAGGCTCAGCAGTTCTCAGTGTACAGTCTGACAGCATGCACAAAGGAAAGACTTGCAGAATCTCTCCTTCAGACAGCGATGGTGATTAAGTCTGTTCCTGAAGCTACTCTCCAGAGCAGACAGAGGGTCCTGCAGTGTGTGACAGTCATGGTTACAAACGAAATGGAAGCATCCAGCATTGCATCCAGCAATGCAAGCATCCAGAATTCTGTCATAGCATCTTTCTACAACGTTATTAATTAAAGGCCACAATACAAATAAGTAGAGTTGGAACTGTCGTATTGTAATGTAGATGTTCCTGTCCAAGTTTACAACATGCCAGTGACTCTTTCATCGTAATTGGAATCTGTTGTCAGCCAAGGTTTTCACGTACATTTTGAAACAATAGACAAGCTGACGACGAGCTCTGAAAAATGTCACTTGTTTTCCCATCACTAAACTCTTGTCAAATATTCATCTTCATAAAAGTGTAAACAACCTCTGCACACTTCCCATTATTTGTCATGTGTCTTAAGATAAAGAGTTTAAAGGATGTTGTTTTGTACCCTGTGGCTAAAGTTGTTCACTGTCATAAGGAGATTAAACATGTCTGAGATTTAAAGGTGGCACTTGATCTGTTAAAGGGTTATGTGTATGGGGCTTTCAGCACTTGTAAGCACATCATTATTTGCGCTGTATTAATGCTGCACTAAACCTTCAGGGCACCAGCAGCTGAAGTCCTCTATACTGCGGGGAGGCAAATATATCATAATAATGATGATAATGATAATACATCTTTATTTGTGTTCTTGAACCAAGATTTTCACATTCCATTGGTCCGTTACATTTTATCAAATGGGTATGTCCAGATGGCATAAAGTGTTGAGACATTGTTTGAATTATTATATATAATTTTCTCTCATCCATGATGATTTAAACATTTTCAGGTGTATTGTCAGTTCAATTGTACAGTTTAACAACAATATGATAATATGAGGAACACCTGGCGCCAAACCATTGTCATGTTTTGCACAAATATGACTATTTGAAATTAGTTTTGTCAGCTGTTCTAACAGAGCAGGGTTTTTCAACTTAAGTTATTTCCTTTTCTTTCACAATAAAAAAAACTATTTCTACGGCTTAAACAACTGCATTTACTGCTCTAAAAATATAGTTTTTTATTGTTTGATGCAGAGTAAAGCAGCCAGTGAGCCGGAAGTGTCTGTGAGCAGCATCCACGTGGAAGAGAACTCAGGAGTGGTCATCACAAACTCTTCCCTCAACGTGTTTGACCGCGACACGCCAGAGAACGAGATCCTCTTCACCGTCATCCGCAGACCCTCCTACGGTACACACACATACACACGCTCTCAGACCAACACTTCATTATTATTACTAAACATGTAGCTGAGGTCTAGTATTTCTGCTTTTAAGGTCCGTCCTGTAGCCCGATATTGTTTGATTCTCTGATCTGTGTTGGGGAATCGACAACTTTTGAAAGTCCTATGAAATTACTGCTGTTGTGATTTAATTGAATTTAATCGATTAGATGAAGGGTCAGGCACGTCCAACCGCAGTTGACCAAGTAGAAGAAGAGAAAAAGGTCCTTTATTCGTCCCACAGTGGGTACATTTCAGTTTGATGAAACTGAAATACACATATACACATCAATGCATGCAGCGAACATTACTTCCGCGCTCCTTTTAGGTAAAGTACATGTGCTGCGGAGGACAATATGGTGTCTTTGACAGTGGTCCACAACTTCTGCTCATTCGAACCGGGGCCAAGGAAATTATCCTTTAGTTTAAATGACCGGATCTCTCCATACAAATGTTCCTCCACCGCATGTGAGCAGAGGCTGAAATGTAAATTGTCCGCGTTCTGAACCGGCTGCACAGAGGCTCTGGGGTTTTCCAGAGAGACTGAGGAAGGGGATATCTGTGGGAGCTTAAAACCACGATGATCAGAGGATCAGAGAAGCCAGGAAATTGCCTTGGACATGGGCATACATTCTGTGAAGACAAGGTGAACTACAGCAGTCTAAGTAGATCCATAAATTGTTAAGCATTTCTCCCATCATTATAGGCCACAATAGGCTCTTTTTATCATTTCTAGAATCTGGGCCATAGTTTGACCATGACGGTCAGCTGACAAGAGGTCACTACATTAGTGCCATTAGTGCAGCACTTCTGGTTGCTTAGTAAAAATGGAGATCAACAAAAACACATTGGTCTAATACCGGTTCTAATTACAGGTAAACTGCGCAGACGCCAGTTCTACTCCCAGCCTCTAGATAGCGGTAAAGTCTTGTCTCAGGGCTCCACCTTCACCTATCAGGACGTGTTGGACCGGCTGCTGGTGTACACACCTGACTCCACCACAGGGGGAGCTGACGAGCTGGGCTTCACGCTCACAGACGGGGTGCACACTCACACCGGGAGGCTGCATTTCACCATGGAGGTGCTGCGCTCCGAAGGGCCCAGGATGACAGTGAACAGGGGCCTCCAGCTGCCTGCAGGTGAGGGGGGGGTAGAGGGGCCACCAGCTGCAGGTGAGGGCGGGCGGGGCTCTTTGTGAAACTGGTTTGACACTCCTGGTCTGCAGACACACTACATCAGCTAGTGGTCTAGTGTGTCCACCAAGGCTCCACCAATTTCCTCAAATCTTCACGTTAAAACTGGACCTCCCTGAAAAAAGGGGTGGAGTCAGGTGCATCTGCTCAAGTTGGAACTAAAACCTGCAGCCACACCGCCCCTTTGAGGAGCGTTTGACACTCCTGTACTACAACATCCTTAAACATCTTGCTTAAGAACATACCAGAACAAACTGGAAATGGAATTGAACCAATAGCCATTTCAACCACACTTTAGTTTTTCATCACTGGACGCTCTGTTATTCTGAGAGGTTTCTGTTTTAAACATGTTTGAAAAGCTTTTTTTTATATTGAGTTAATCAGTGTGTGCTCAGTTGCATAAACATCACCTCTGAACTAAGAAACTTTTTAATTAGAAAAGTACCACGAACACGACTTTGGCGGCTTGTTACATCTTAGTTCATAAATTGGAAAATGCTTGGAGAATGTAAGTGAATTATTTTTGGTTCACGAGGGACAGAGCAGCTGCTGCTGTTTGCTGCTTTTGCATTGTAAACATCAATCTGTGGCGGAAACAAAACATAAAAAGTTCTTGACACAGCAAAATACGAATAAATATAAATGTCCGCTTGTCTTGCACAAAAGTTTTCTCCCTCTGAGGTTTCTGTACACTGGACTCAGTTTACTAACCTGGCAAGAGCCAGATTGATGATTGTGTAGAACTCTAATGCGTTCTCCACAATATCAATCTGGGACTTCTGCTGGAGAATCCTTTCGGGGAAAGGAGGGATAAGCCGCAGAATACTTCAAGCTGATTGGGCGAAGTGACGCTCTGTGCCCGCCTACTAAAAAGGCACAAACATCTTTGCCGTCCAGAAATGCACAAAGCGCCTCTCGCTGTTCATCTATCAAAAAAGAAATTGGAGATTCTGCTAAAACTGACTTGACAGCCTCAGCTACGCGTCCGTCCTCCTGCTTAGCAATGTTTGTTTTGCTTCGGCCCAGCACTTCTTGCTTTCGTCAAACCCGGATATCCCGCCCTAAACCCCCAGACTGGCGCATGATTGGCTTGAACACCTAGATGTTCTACTCGAAAAGGGTTGGCGGTAGCGGGGCAAGATGTATTCTCGAGTGTTTGTGAACTCACCGCGAGAATTCAGCTTGCAGGCAAGGTTATCAGTTTACACTGTATTCAATTTTCTTTTGCCTCATAAATGGTGCCTATAACTGACACTTATCCCACTAGTAAACCTGGAATTTTTCAATCTGGTGACTTAGAAATTCTATTTCTACTCTTTATTGGAATTTTTAGATGAATAACTAAGATTACGCAGCTGTCTGAACTTAAACTTAAACTTAAACCCAGACACGTTTAAAGTACCAAATGGATGATAAACCGATCCTCCTTAAGGGACAATAAACCTGACATAATAGTGTTATTCTATGACACATTTAATTTTTTTTTTCCCCTTGTGTTTGGTGAAGGCACTTCATCTAAAATCACAGAACAGAACTTGAAGGGCACAGACATCGACTCGGACAATCTGAAGCTGCGTTACGTTCTGACCAAAGACCCAGCGAGTGGGAAGCTGCTGCTGAGCCCCCAGGGCGAGGCAGAGAAAGTGTCTGTGAAGGGGCCCATCAATGGATTCACCCAGGACCAAGTCAACAAAGGTGAACAATACTGACTGGCAACAAGGGAAAAGTATGCATCATCGGAATACCTCTCAATAAATAAGTGGTCAGGACTTCCTCATCCTATATTTTTATCAATGGTATGTTTCATCTCTTTCTTTACAGTGTCTAGAAGGATGAGCTAGAATAATGACTTATTCAACAAAGTCATGTTAGAAATAGAAAAGGTTGCGTGTGTGCGTGCGTGCGTGCATGTGTGTGTGATTTAGATATTGAGTACTAAATCTTTAATGCTTCCTGTCTTCCCAGGAATGGTGCAATACAGCCATGAGAAGTCGGAGAAAGCGGGAAGTGTGTCGTTCAAGTTTAACCTTGTGGATCCTGAAGGCAACAAGCTCATTGACCAGTCCTTCTTCATCAGCGTCCTGGGTACATAAAATAAACATTATTTGTGTTCCTATAAGTACCTGTCAGTCCTTGAACATGATTTTAATAATTAGGGATGCACCTTGGATGATTCTGCTTTTTGAAGTCTGATTCTGATCGTGATAGTTTTGACTTCAACGTGTGCCAATACTCATAATGAACCAATAGCAGTGAAAGGAACTGAAGATTTTTGTTGATCCTGTAACAACAGAACTACTACAGCGTTTCTATCAGCCACTACAACGTTCATTTGTGTGCTTCTCATGTGCAACTTACAGTCCTGCTCCTGCCCTTCAGTACGGTGTCCTCTGCAGTGTATTTTATAGTGTTTGACAGCTGCAACAGCGCTCAGACCTACAATCAACAGGTTTGATATTGGCCCAAGTGGACTTTAGCAGTTGGGAGTTAAAGTTGCTACACTGCAAAAACTGATGAAAATAAGTCAAACATTTCTCAATGTTGGCTAAATATCTCTTAAAGCACCTTGTGTAATTTTTACAGCTGTTCCATTTGAAAAAAACATAATAACAAATGTGACCTTTTTAAGAATATTTACCTCCACCATTATTTTTTATTATATTTAGCATTCAAATTTAACTTATAAGTGTCCATGAGAGAGGAGTACTCTCAGTGTAAATGTGCCATCTTGGAAAACAGTGGTGAATAAGGGACAAAAAGGATGCGAGAATCTCGTTTTCGTTTCACATGAGCTACTGCTATTGTTGCTTTCACCGTGGCCTCACAAGTTGGAAGAAGGAACCATGGAGGACCACAGTTATGTAAAAGAACAACCCGTACAACAATCTTTTAGAAAAATAATTATGCAGAAGTCCAGCGTCATAGCAGCAAAGTGTCAACATCGCAAACCACACGCACCGAAAGACAGCGTTAACACAACAGGAGGCACAGTTTGTACAGACTCACACGTGAACAATACGTAACTTTTCTTCACACTAGCATGAATGAAAACGAGGCAGAATCTGCAACAGTCTCAGGATGTTCTGACCCGATCCGAGCGCAGTTCAACTACTATGTCACAAGTTTCAACTAAACTTATTCAGGGAAAAAAATTCAAATAAAACACACACAGAATCCCCACAAAACAATCGCCAGAATACTTAATCATTAATAGTTACCTAATGTAACTTAAGTTCTACGAATAGGTGCGTAGTCCCTTAGGACTTCGCTAGTGGGATATCACTCGTGACCCCCAGGTCACACGCCAGAGAGATCAAAATTATTTGCTCCAATCACCAGCCACCCTCCTCTATAAAGGCCCCTGCACACAGCCTCTGCCAAGCCGGGCTGGCCTGATGGGCTCGTAGCTAAGGGACTACGCACCTATTCGTAGAACTTAAGTTACATTAGGTAACTATTAATTCTACGTCATGGTGCTACGTCCCTTAGGACTTCGCTAGTGGGACACAACGCGGAGGCCGTAGGAACATGTACTCCCAGCAGGCCAGGGTGATTGGAGCTCCGCCCGAGCAAGACCCTCACACAGTGAGAGGACTCAGGGCAGAAGAAACAAATGCGTGTTACAGGGCCACTCCTACCAAGGATACCCCCACGTAACACAGACCGTAGGTCACCCGTAGTCCCAGGATGCCTCTCCCAAGAGCTCCTGACGTGGACTACCTGACCGACCAAACACACATATAAGTACCGCACCTGTAGGATGCCTCTCCCAAGAGCTCCTGAACCAGGGCGGAAAGTTAACCGAAGGCCCCCTCAGAGGAGGGACCTAACGGTCTAACTCAGTCCGCTGCACTCAGCACGGAATGGGCCACCGACCGGTCCGACACATCCAAAAGATAAGACCGGACGAAAGAAGAGGACGACGCCCAAGAAGCCGCACGGCAGACGTCCTCGACCGACGCCCCCCTGAGGAGGGCCGTTGAGGCCGCCACCCCACGCGTGGAATGCGACCTGAAGCCCACCTGGGGGGCCAGACCCAGCGTCTGATACGCCCGCCGCACAGCCGTGGCGACCCAGTGCGCCAGCCGCTGAGCCGACAGCGGGGCGCCCCTGTTCTTGGGGGCCAAACAGCTGACCCGAGGTAATGGCTGCCGCGAACACCGCCAAGGTGGCGACAGCCCTCCCTTTGTCAAAAAGCTCCTGTGGGAGTCCCAGGACCCCCTCCAGCGGGCAACGCCTGGGATCCCAGGAACGAGAACCGCACCAGTCGCTGAAGAGCCTCCACCTTGTGGCGTAGGCCCTCACAGTGGACGGCGCCCTCGCCCCCTGAATGGTCTCCACCACCGCAGGGTCTACGAGGTTCCGCCTCTCAGCCTCCAACCCAGAGCCTGCGGCCGATTATCGGGCGTGAAAACAGGGCTCCCCCCCCCTGGACTAGAGCCCCCGGCTCGTCCGGAAGGGCCCAGGGCTCCATCACCGCCATGCCCCTCAGGAAGGGGAACCACCTGCGGACTATCCGGAGCCACCAGGATCACCGACCTCCTCTCCTGTTCGATCCTCCGCAGCAGGACCAGCAGGAGACGCACTGGTGGGAAAGCGTACAGCAGGCGTACAGCCGGGCCACACGGATGCGGAGGGCTGCAGGGCCATGCGGACTGAATCCTCGGTGTCCGGGCCACCATCCACGGCTAGCGTCTGGCACATGCGCAGAATCGCCGCCGAGGTGGTCCTCGCCTGTGACAGGAGGTCTCCACTGAGCGCCTGGCCAGAGGAGAGCGACCTATTCAGGGCCCCCGTGATGAATGCCATGTTGTTAGCCTATGCGAGGACCTGTGCCGCATTGGCATAACATCTATCCAGCATCGCCACGACATCCTGTCCCGCTCGGAGGGAAGGAGAGGTCTGGTGCCGGGCCACACGGATGCAGAGGGCTGCAGGGCCAAGCGGACTGAATCCTCGATCACCGGTCCAGGACCAGTCCTGCCCGCTGCAGTACATGTCGTGCCCCAGAGCAGGCCTCTTGGCTGCTAGGGGCTTTGGCCACTCACGTGTCGCGTAATGGACGAACGGGTCCATCCGCGGGCACAACGTGGGTTGTATCCTCCTCCTCCGTCGAGTGGTGGCGCCCACAGAGGTGAAGTCCTCCACAGTCTGGATCCAGCGATGACGTCCGACGCCGGAGGGCGAAGGGAACTCGGACGAACAAGGAAGACACCTCAGAATGAAGTAAGTACTGGTAGATCTCAAACGGCGCCAGAGTGAAAGAGGGGGTGCGGCTGTGTGCAGGGGCCTTTATAGAGGAGGGTGGCTGGTGATTGGAGCAAATTATTTTGATCTCTCTGGCGTGTGACCTGGGGGTCATGAGTGATATCCCACTAGCGAAGTCCTAAGGGACGTAGCACCATGACGTAGAACCAGCGTGAGTGAATGTTCTGTTTTCTTACCGTGATGCAGATGCGGCGCTGTGGCTAACGCTAATGCTAACATGAGCTTTTAGCCATGTCCTGCCATGGCTCTGTATATCTCCTGCAAAGGCTTCTGTACTATATTGGAATGCAATATAAGATCTCAAAGCTAGATGGCACAAAAAATTACACAGTGTACCTTCAATTTGATCACATTCTGACTGCCTTAAAACAAGATTTGATTCAATCAATCAAATTTTATTTATAGAGCACTTTTCAACACTCAAGGCAACCAAAGTGCTTTACAATAAATTCACATAAAATCCATTCAAACATTAATGTATTCAAACAATAAAACAGTAAAAAAAAAAAAAGTAATAATATATATTTTTAAAGTGACACCGTGCTAATGAGTGTTCAACGTTTTTAAAGCCAGTCTGAATTAATATGTTTTGAGCCTCGATTTAAAAAAGCCAAAATCAGTAAGGACACGCATGTCAGGGGGCAGCTTGTTCCAGAGTCTGGGTCCACCCCAGTGTTTGGACCTAGTCCTTAGTACTTCCAGGAAGAGTTGAGACCTCAATTATCTGCCTGAGTCACGAACAGTCAAAAATTCAGACAAGTACGTAGGGGCGAGACCAATGAGGGCTTTAAAAACAAAGAAAAAAACAATTCAAGCAATTGTTCCCTCTGATTTTATATTTTTTTGCAGTGTTTTTACTCCGGCTTATGAGGTACCACTGTTAACTGACTTATTAGACTTTGCAAACATTTGGCTACATTTACCTCAATTTGAACACATTTTGACTGCACAAGCAAAACTATCTTGTTTTAAAAAGATATGTCTCCATTGGAATGAGAAAATAAAGCAACAGTTCTTAAAATTAGGTCAATCCTGACAGTCAAAAGATACTCAAATCAAAACCACTTGATCAATCAATTATTATTACCTCATATTTTATCATTTTTTGCTGTTTATCAAGGCTTCCCCAAGATAGTGACTGAACCAATATCATCTACGTCAGGCATGTCAAAGTCAAATACATCAGAGGGCCAAAAAAACAAATTTGCTGCGAGCCGAGGGCCGGACTGGTTCAATGTTTATTAACTCATTGCCTGCCAGCCTATTTCAGAACAGGTACTCCCATTTTTGATTGCTCCAGTAGAGCACATTTTTTGGCCCATTAGTTAGAACGGCGGAGATAGGCGTGACTCTGTCCGTTAATATATACAGTCTATGATCAATACCCGATGCCAGTATTGTATTGGTGCATTCCCATTAATAATATATATTACCTCATGTTTAGAAAATATAAATACACACATATGGAATAAGCGATGGCCAGTTTGAACAAACTCTCCTTTTCCAGTGCTAGTGAATTCTGCTTAATCAACTCGATAATAAACCCTTTAAAATTGTCTACCCCGCACCAGCCATTCAGTTCTTACCCCAAAGCGTCAAATTATCAGATTAACGTTATTACCCCAACTTGAACACATTTCAAAATTAGCTTTTTTCACTTCCATATCATAAGACACTTTTTTGCCTTGAGCTGCACCAAACGTAGTCCTTGCTTTGATTTAATTTTTATTTTAATTTGAGTCCAACATTTTGCTGTGGAAGATGCGGCCGACTCTTGGGTGCAATTTGTTTGTGTCCTCTCTCTTTCTCTCTCCGTTCTCTCTTCCGTAGCACTCTGATAATCCCAGATTAATTTAGCCAAAAACAAGACCATTACACTGCTTTAGCCGGCTCCCTGAAGACCGCTGCATGCATCGCTAAACTACATACGCTTACGGAATTCTAAGTGACAAGGGATTTGGACATCTCTTTTTTCCAGGACTTGGGGGACTTTCATTCTCAGCAATTAAGATTCCTAAAACTTTCTTAATTACGTGAACTGGGGAGATCACATTTTTTGGCCTTGAAGTGAAAGCACTTTTTTACATAATTGAACTTGCGTATAAAAGTAGACTTGTTTCTTTGGATAACTTGTTTGAAATTTGTAAAATATACAAAGAATGTCACTAAATATACCTAGTTTTGGTGACTAACGGAGTACATGTACCAGGAATTATATTATATATATTTATACGGTTAGGACACACAGGCAAAGAACACTGTTTTATTCAAAGGGCCTGTTAATTTAAATGTTTCTTTAACCAAAGTGAGCAAAACTTCATTCTCAGTGTAACAGGAAGTGTACTGCTATTGTTCTATCCATTACAAAGTTATCACTGTAAATTATGATACGGTGATTAACAAGCTAGTAAGTATTCATGTAAGTAGTGCTCCTGGTGCAGACGGCTCCTTGGATGGCGCTTCTTCAGCTGGTTACATCTGCACCCTGCCAAGTCTCTCTTTTCATGTTTCTACTGTTTTACTGGTGTGTGTGTGCGTTTGGGTTTGGGGTGGGTCTGTTGGGTGGTCGGGAGGGGGGTTCATGGGCGGGATTGTTTTTAACCAAACTGTAAAGCACTTTGTGTTGCATCTTCTGTATGAAGAGAGCTTTATAAATAAAATGTGATGGATTGATTGATTGATAGTAGTGTAGGGCGACTCTCGCTTCTCAGTAAAAAGGTTCTGGGCTTTTATCCCGGTCAGAGTGGAGTTTGTATGTTTTCCCTGTGTCTACGTAGGTTTCATCCACCACTAAAAACATATACAATTGGCAAAAATCCTCCAGCTCCGGTAGTCCTAACCAAGCATCAACATCTGGAGATGGGTCCCCTACTGCTCCTGATAGGATCCTATAGCAGGAATGAAAAATGGGTCAAATGCAGAAGACAAATTCCCCATACAGGGAGAATTAAGTATAACTAACTAAATATCCCATTGTATGTCGCACAAGCAAATAAATTAATCCTAGTCACAAATAGCCTTAAGCTAAAAAGGTGCAATAATTTGCTTTATTTCATTTTTCACAGTCCATCCTATGCACGTGTGTGATAATAATTTGGGTGATACACCATACAACACTCAAAACCAGTCAAATTTTTGCCATTTCGTGCATATAGTTGATGTCACCTCATGTGAGGTGCTTGGATCTGTGCTCCTCTGCCTCCCCATACCCGTGCGGTGGTGTGGCATCACGCTAAGTTCGGAGTAAACAAAACCACATAGAGCCCTATGTCCTCGATCCAGAATCAGACCCTAATTATTGAGTTCATAGTCAGATAGAGCGAATTAGTTGCATTGCACTCACAGACTGAGGCTCCTGTTGGGAATAACACCAGGTTTCCAGATCAGCTTTTGAGTAGGTCCCGTTTCAAGGTAACTGTAGTTCTGGAACAGTCTTTGCTGGTGTGACCGTCACTCGCAAAAAACATCTGCGAGTTTTGTAGCAGATTTCAGACTTGCGGATTTGAATCCCCGTGACCAAAGTCGTTCCACATTCGCCTCATTCTCCATCTTCTTGCCAAACACTGGCATCACTTATTTACACCCAAAAAAACGTTTGCCCAATTTGACATGAAGCTAACACAGAAAAATACAGACGCATATTTACAGAGGCTACATGCGCTTATCATAGACTGCGCTAATTCGTTGGTTCAGTTTCTCCCCGCTGTCAATCCCCTCTTGAAGACGGGCTTTCGACGTCACAGATTGGTGCACTTCACGATTTGGAATAGAGTTGTTTCTGTGCCTCTAGAGAACGAACTAAACTGTAACTAAATCTTGAGGGAATAAACGAAAAAACTACTCCTGGCATGTTTATAAAGGCCCAATAGCACTGTCATCATGTTTAAACCAGAGAAAAGTCAAAACGCGTGATCTGGCACCTTTAAGCTCTAAGTGTCCTTCTCTGCAGAGGACCGGCTGCCTCCGATGGTGGAGGTGAACAAAGGTTTGGTCCTGGATGAAAACAGCATGAAGAAGATTACCACTCTGCAGCTGTCGGCGAGTGACCAGGACAGCGAGCCGGGGGAGCTGCTGTACCATGTGACCAAGCAGCCCGCACTGGGGCACCTGGAGCACGCCAACGTCCCAGGTACATATCAACAGCAAACTTTAGAACACAATTTTCTTGAAGCTACATTTTATTGGTTATTGTCTCTCCGCTCCGTGATCCACGCTACAGCGGGACGCTCACGTACAACAGCACGGCCTGTTGTACGCAGGTGTGTCAAAGTAAGCAGTACTGCAGGGCTGCTCTGTGCACCTTTTTAGTAAACTTTTAACAACTTTTTAGCGCGTTTTTATTGTTCAGTTTTTTAATATATCTGAGTGTTTTATCTTTTTAATTCAGTGGTTTCAGCAAATAGCACTTAGTCCCGACTGAAACCCACTAGTAGCACAGAGGCTAACACAAGCTAACGAGGACATGGAAAGTGACAATGAAATTGGCTCAAACATGCACAATATTAGTCGCCTCACCTTGGAGCTCCGTGAGAGCGACCGTGCCACCATTGCAGAACTACGAAAAGAAGTCCTTCGTCTCACCGCAGAGTTGAATGAGAAACAATCTCTAGTATCCAAACTTTTTGAAGTCGCTGGTGGGCAGCACTCACGGCTTATGTCACTGAGCGCTGCATATTGTGACACTGTCGTGTGGGAGAGATCCGTCAGCTCCGGACCCTCCTGTTCTATACCTAAGCGCCCGCTTACGAATAACGAGCCCGCGGATTCCGAGGAGCCATCCTGCGCCGTGGCCCATGTCCTGAGTCTGGCAAACCGCTATGCAGCCCTCTCCACCGACATCCCGGCCCCCTCAGCAGAATCCCTGGACACTGCAGCAAACTCTACTGCTCGAGGATCCAAGTCCACTACGAGGAAAACGCTCCTAAAGGAAGCAGTCCTCAGGCGAAAGAGCGGTCCACCAGCCATGTTGACCCCAGTGCAGCAGCCTCAGACTGGGGTAGCGAGCCATCATCACCACCGCTCACCTCCACCGGGCCAGCAGCAGCGCCCAGAGCCAGCCCCTCTCACCGCTCCAGCGTCCCCGAGCACACAGCGTGGGTCGCCTGTAGCTGAGAGTCAGCACCCCCGCTCCTCCTCTCCATGTGTTCAGCGGCGCTCAGGCTCGGGTCCTGCTTCGGGTGAACCCGCTGGTTCCGTCCACCGAGCTCCTTCTCCGAGGCCACTCTTCGCCCCGACCACTCTGATTATTGGAGATTCCATCGTGAGACACGTCCGCTTCTTTAACGCGGTCACTCGCTGTATTCCCGGAGCTACTGTACCAGACCTGCTCATACGTCTCCCTCCTCTGCTTCAGTCCCTGCCTGATACCGTTTCCAAGGTAGTCGTGCATGTGGGAATTAACGACATGAAACTTCAGCAGTCAGAAGTCACGAAGAAACATTTTATGGATCTGTTCCACCTCCTTCAATCCTCCGGACTATCTGTTTTTGTTTCTGGTCCAATCCAGACTGTAAACAGAGGTGACTGCCTCTACAGTCGTGTTGTGGCGCTGCATGTGTGGCTTCAGGCTACATGCAGCTCTTTTAACTTTGTCTTTGTGAATAACTTTGCCCTTTTCTGGAAACGTTACGAAGCCTATCGTCCAGACGGATTACACCCAAACAGATACGGTAGCAGCCTGTTGATGGATTACATACGTTATGTTGTTCAGCGTTCCCCGAGGGGGGCGTGACTGTTTACATCTGAGCCCCCTCGGACCCCACCGCACTCCCCCGCCTCCTGCTCACCAGCACCGGGTGAGTACAACGGTGCAAACACTGCTCCCTGTCCGTCTGGCAGTGCATTACCAGTCCAAACACTGAACTGTGCTGACTCCCTTCTGACTCTGGGAGCTAAAGAACAACAAGGGTTTTCACATTTTAGGCCAATTGAGACTGTGTGTGTTCCTCGCACCAGCTCAAAAATGTTTTTAAATTCTAAAAAACGAAATCAAAACAGGACAGCAGTTAGACGGTCCAACTCTGCAAATCTAATTTCTGTTCCCTGTAGAAATCAATCAACCACATTAATCGACTCTGACGTTATTTTTAAACTTGCTATGCTTAATGTCAGATCTCTATGTAACAAATCATTTTTAATTAATAATTTTATCACTTCTTATGATCTTGATTTTATGCTTATGGCTGAAACATGGCTGGACCAAAATACAGGAAATGCAGTTCTAATAGAAGCAACACCACCCAATTTTAAATTCGAATCCGAAATACGAGAAAACAAAAGGGGGGGAGGCATAGCTGCAGTTTTTAGAGAGCACTTTGTCTCCCATAGAATGCCCCTTGGAAATTTTTCATCGTTTGAGTATATTTCTTTTCAAATGGAACAAAAGCAATCTTCTACTCTTTTCATTGTCCTGTACAGGCCACCACAGTCATGTTGCGATTTTATTGACCATTTTACTGAACTACTTTCATTCGTGTGCACAGATTTTGATAGTTTAGTTATTACAGGTGATTTTAATGTACATGTTGATAATGTTGATGACAGAAATGCAAAGGAGCTGGCTTCTGTATTTGAGACCTTTGGTTTCATTCAGCACGTGAGTGGCCCCACCCACAGCAGGGGGCACACTCTTGACCTGCTAATTACAAAGGGGGTTAATGTATCAAATGTTAATGTAGTTGATGTTGCTTTGTCAGATCATTTCTGTGTATTTTTTGACATGTGTTTTGCTAGCAAACCACCAGCTGAATTTACAACTGTTAGAAGAAGACACATACATGAAAACACAAGTGAACTGTTCATGGGAATGCTAAATTTTGAGAAAACTCCATGCTCTACTGTTGATGAATTGTATAACTCTGTCACCACCAGTGTTCTGACTGTTCTGGACGCCATTGCTCCTGTGACGGTTAAAATAGTTACCAGTAAGAAAAAGGCCCCATGGACTAAGGCAGACTCGGTTAGGGCACAGAAGCAAGAGTGCCGGAGGGCCGAACGGAAGTGGCGAAAGTCCAATTTCCAGGGCGATTATGAAATCTTTAAAGATGAGTTGGGTGAATTTAACCGGGTTCTACGTAGAACAAGAGAAATGTATTTTTCTGACATTATTGGAGGTTGCAGTAACAATTTTCGTGTTATGTTTTCAACAGTTGGTAGATTAACGAACCCCCCTGTAAAGTTGCCCCTAGAATTTTCCTCTAAATCTAGGTGTAATGAGTTCGCACAGTTTTTCGATGACAAAGTACAAGGAATCAAAAACACTATCACCTCCACAGCACGTATAACAATGCAACAGCCAGAGAAGCTTTCTGAGCTAACTCACTTTGCACCTGTGGATACTGAAACTGTCAAAAAGATAATCATGAGTCTGAGCTCCTCCACTTGTAGCCTGGATATATTGCCCTCTAAATTTCTGAAGTCCGTCCTGAGCAGTTTGTTACCTTCACTGACACAAATAGTAAACATGTCTCTGTCGTCAGGAACATTTCCTATGGCCCTAAAAACAGCAGTCATAAGACCTCTCCTAAAAAAGAGCAGTCTGGATCCTGCGGGACTTCAAAATTATCGCCCCATATCGAATCTGCCATTTATTGGAAAAATTCTTGAAAAAGTGGCCTCCCAACAACTTACTGAATTTTTAACAATGAATAATTCTTTTGATATGTTCCAGTCTGGGTTTAGACCCCACCACAGCACTGAGACCGCTCTAGTGAAGGTAACAAACGACATTCGACTTCACACTGATGCAGGTAAAGTCACAGTTTTGGTCATGTTAGATCTTAGTGCCGCGTTCGACACTGTCGACCATGAGATCCTCATGCAGAGACTGGAGGACTGGGCTGGTGTCACTGGCACAGCCCTAGACTGGTTTAGGTCTTACCTGGAGGATAGGAAGTACTCTGTGGAGATTGGAGACTGCGTCTCAGATGATGTGGCCCTGACCTGTGGTGTACCACAGGGGTCGATCCTGGGACCTCTCCTATTTAATCTCTACATGCTGCCGTTAGGTCAGTTAATACAAAGAAACAAAGTGTCCTACCACAATTACGCTGACGACACTCAGATCTATGTCTCACTGACTGCAGGAGAACATGGACCACTGGATTTGCTCCTTCACTGTATCCAACAGATCAGTGACTGGATGCAAAATAATTTCCTCCAGCTAAATACAGACAAAACCGAAATCATTGTCTTTGGTCCCCAGAAACAAAGAGAGGGCGTCATTTGTCAACTTCAGTCTCTCTCCCTACTTCCTTCAGACAAGGTCAGAAATTTGGGGGTAATACTGGACTCAGACCTAAATTTCAATAGCCACATAAAATCAATAACATCAACAGCTTTTTACCATCTGAAGAACATTGCCAAAGTTAGAAATATAGTGTCCAGGGCAGACTTGGAGATTCTTGTCCATGCATTTGTCTCCAGCAGGCTAGACTCTGAGGAGCACAGGGACTGGCCTCCTGCTGGTGCCCAGAGTGAGAACCAAACATGGGGAGGCTGCGTTTCAGATCCATGCAGCTAAGATCTGGAACAATCTCCCTGAAAATGTGAGGGAGGCGTCTACTCTGTCAATGTTCAAATCCAGGTTAAAGACTGTTCTGTTTGCCTGTGCATACAACTGAAGGATTTTATCTCCATTTTTAATGCACTGCTGTCATTTATTTATTTTTTTAAATTTCTTGTGTAATTTTGAAAGTTTTAATGGTTTTATTCTTTGTGTGATTTTAATGTTTTAATTGTGTTTTAATCTTTTGTGTGATTTTAATGTTTTAATTGTGATTCTGGTGTTTGTTTTATGTGATGATTTGTGATGTGGACTGTGAAGCGCTTTGTGTTGCCATGTGTATGAAAGGCGCTCTACAAATAAACTTTGATTGATTGATTGATTCTGGGATTAAAACGCAGAGCAATGATTTGATTTAGATTACGTGATATTTTCTGCACATAATGTTGCAACAGGGCATTGAAATTGAGCTTGTGAAAAGGTTGGTTGTTTGAATATTAAGTGGTTGGTTTTGGAAAATGGAAACGTGGAATCAGAATTAAAGAGAAAGACCCTAGTTGAATTGCACGCAGACTTCCATGCTTAATATGGACTAAATGACATTTTTCAAAATTGGCCGAACAACACTGGCTGATTAATAGAGCTTCAAGTTTGGAATGGAATCCATATCATCGCTGCAAAGGTCAACTGTGTATTAGAAACAAGAGGAAACATTTCATAAGGTCACTATATTGTGTTGGAAAACATCACTTCTAAACCCCATTAAAGTTTTTTTTTTTCCTTTGCATGGAATGTTGGAACAATAATGCGCTCAACTGCGCTATCTCTGTGAAGACAAGTGGGGAGATGCATGACTGTGTCTGAATATTCACCGACTCGCTTTAATCTTCCACTATGCATCTTGTGTTGTCCAATGCAACATCATCAGACACGCCACAATTTACTGAAACCTGTTCTGTTTCTTACACAATGTTAACTAGAGCTGGGCAATTTTAAAACCCTCTGCATATAATATAGTATGATTTTAAGGGACGTTATGAAGCTGAGAATGCGCACAGTCACGTGTTGTTTACCTTAGGTCTGAGCATGTGGAATGAGAAACAGTGACTGTGATCATATTTGTAGAAGAGGAAAGAAGCAATGAGAACAGACAAACTCTTTGACAATCTTTCCCCCTAAAAGTCCTTTCTCGAGTTGTGCAAAACCTCTGTCAGGAATATTCAATTTAAAGACGACATCATAAAATTGAACTACAGAGTTTTCTTTCTCTCTCCCCCAGCTGGATTTAAAGAGACAGTTACACAAGTAACAGTAATATTGTGATTTCTTAGAACTCAATTTGGCCATATGGCCCAGCACAACTCTTGAGTTAAAGGTGCAGGAAAGGATTTTTGTTAGCTTAGCAGTAGCATCCAAGTAGCATCAACTCCCAGCACAGATGAACGCCGTTTCTGTAATAACGCAGTCTGTGACGAATCCTCCCAGCTTGAAAAGTGAAAGCATTACAATAAATTAGTGTTAAAAAAAAAGAACGTTTTCACGCCTGATAATCGCCGCAGGCTCTGGGTTTGGAGGCTGAGAGGCGGAACCTCGTAGACCTGTCTTCCCCCTGGCGGTGGTGGAGACCATTCAGGGGGCGAGGGCGCCGTCCACTGTGAGGCCTAAGACACGAGGTGGAGCTCTTCAGCTACTGGTGCGGTTCCCGTTCCTTGGATCCCCAGACGTTGCCCGCATGGAGGGGGTCCTGGGATTCACTACAGAGCTCTTTGACAAGGGGAGGGCTGTCGCCACCTTGCTGTTTTCGCGGCAGCCATTACTTCGGGTCACGATTGGATTCGGGGGTTCACAGCCCGCGTCCATCCGTGGTTAAACTTTTCTGTCGGGGGGCCGCAGTAAGAAAAAAAGAATAAAAAAAAGAAAAAGAAAAAAAAACAAAAAAAAAAAAAAAAAAAAAAAAAAAAAAGAAAAAAAAAAAGAAGAAAAGAGGAGGCCCCCGCTCCAGAGTACGCCCCCGGTTTGGGACCTCAGGGTGGTCCTTAGGGGGCGGTCCGGTCCGCCTTATTGAACCGGCGCGGAGGCGAGTCCCGAGTGTGTCGCTTTTAGACGGCCCTCTTGTTGGCGTTGGCGTCTCTAAGAGGGCGGGCGTCTTGGTGTGCGCTCTCTGTCCATGCTCTTGCCTGTCCTTTGGAGAGGGCGCCGGCATGGTGGAATTTGTGGCCCTATTCCGGCTTTTCTCCCCAAG